GCCGGTAAATACGGGCGGCGGGGCGGCCTCGGAGGTTCGTGCTCGGCTCCGGCTGCGCGCTCGCGGCTGCAGGCCTAGGCTGTCGGTGCTGCGTTCGGTGAGTGCGGGGAGCGCCCACCCGCGGGAGGGGCCTTGTTGGGTTGGAGACGTCTCGTTGAGGGCAACCCCTCCGATCGTGCCGGGGCTTCGGGCCCAGCTTTGCCCGCAACTGCGGCCCGGAGCAGGGCCTGGGACTCTGGGCCCCGACAGGCCGGGCTTTGCCGCGGACTCGGGCGGAGCCAGCGGGAGGGGCCTGGTGAACGCGGCCGCCCGCCATCTGGATCCGCTCCCTGCGATCTAGGTCTCCTCCCCGAGATCTCGGTCCGCTTCCCGCGATCTGGGTCCCCTCCCCGAGATCTGGGTCTCCTCCCCGCGATCTGGGTCCCCTCCCCGCGACCTCGATCTCCTCCCCGAGATCTCGGTCCCCTCCCCGCGATCTGGATCTCCTCCCCGAGATCTGGGTCCCCTCCCCGCTATCTCGGTCCCTTCCTCGGCATCTTGATCTCCTCCCCGCGATCTCGGTCCCCTCCCCGAGATCTGTGTCTCCTCCCCGCGATCTCGATCTCCTCCCCGTGATCTCGGTCCCCTCCCCGCGATCTCCCGCGATCTCGATCTCCTCCCCGCGATCTCCGTCCCCTCCCCGCGATCCCAGTCTCCTCCCCGCGACGTGGGTCTCCTCCCCGCGACGTGGGTCTCCTCCCCGCGATCTCGATCTCCTCGCCGTGATCTCGGTCCCCTCCCCGCGATCTCCCGCGATCTCGATCTCCTCCCCGCGATCTGGGTCTGCTCCCTGCGATCTGGGGGGTGGGACGGGGCAAATTGTGGGGCCGTAGAATCGACCTGCATCCATGTTTTAAGGTTATTTATTATTCTAAAGAGTTTGCCGTGCAACTTCCTGCGTAAAACCCACGTCATTCCTGGAACCTTCGTGAAAACAAGACCCGGGTGGCTGGGGTGGAACAGCAGGAAGATTTAAATCAAGACTGGAGAGCACTTCGCAGAGCGAGGACTGGAGAGGTCGGAGGGGAGGCCCAGAGGTCAGACGAGGCCCCGGGGGCAGAGAGGAGGCTGGGCCTCTGGTTTAGGGCCCTGCAAGCCAGGGCATTATCCAGGGGCAGCTGTAGGGGCCTTGGCTGGCCCTGGCTCCTTCGGTCTTGGGTCACCCCTGTCCCAGGCACTGCGAAGCCAGCAGGTTAGCACCGAGGAAAGATCCAAAGCCCACGTAGCTCCGGCCCACACGGCTCCACTGACCAGCCACTGGCCGGGGCTCAGAGGAGGCGTCTTGGGAAAGTATTCCCAGGTGCTTCTGTGGGAGGACAGTGTCTCTGGGGGGCATTCAGTGGGGCTGCAGGTGGAGAGGCCCCGCAGGGTGTGGGTGGGTGATGGCCTCTCCTTGTCTTGGCCTGGTGACTGCCACCCAGAGCCTTGGAGCTTCCTAGAGAAAGGAGGGGTGCCCAGAGTGTAGGCGCCCTGGAGAAAAGTGTCCTGGCCGGGCTTTGGGTGTGTGTTCCAGAGCCTGGGGTACGAAGGGGCACCCCGCTGCAGCCTCCAGCCATGGTCTGACAGGACCCCCTGAGGAGGGGGAGGGGGTAATGGCTGAGTATGCCCTGGGGGAGGGTGGGGGAAAGGAAGGAGGCCCTGGCCTGCAGGGGTTTTGCTGAGGGTCTGGCTTGGGCAAGTACAGGACCTGCGTAGGGAGGGTCTGTTGGGTGCAATGGGATCTTTCCAGGGCAGGGACACTTCCACAGGGGAGGGGGCTATGGTTCCTTCTCCTGGTCTGTCCTCAGTGCAGGGGTGGTAGGGAGACAAGTCGTGGGTCCTTGGGTCGCTATTGTTTGAGTGTGGTGCGAGATGCAGGGATTGAACCCCAATTTTTTGGTGCTGGGGACGCACTTTGCCAATGAGTTACACACCCCAATCCTGCCTTCAGCCCCTTTCCTTTTTTCTTTTGGCAGAGATTTAAACTTGCTAGGCAGACACACTAAATCTCCAGTCATCCCCAGCCCTTCTTTGTGTTGTTGTTTCCCAGATAAGAGCTCCTCCTACCTGTGCTGGCCCAGATCTCCCTGGATCACTCATTGTGCCTTTCTTGTGGCTGGGGTGACTGGTGTATGGCCACTGTGCCCAGCCACTGGATAAGATGGGGTCTCTCTCTAAGCCAGGCACCAGTTGCTCATGCTTGTAATCCTAACTACTCAAGAGGCTGAGATCCAAGGATAGAGGTTCAAAGCCAACCCAGGCTGACAAATCTGAGATGCTTATCTATGATGGAAAGGCAGAAGTGGAGCTGTACGTGGCTCACGAAGTAGAAAACTAGCCTTAGTGTCAGAGCTAAGGGACAGCACTCAGGCCCTCAGTTTAAGCTCCAATACTGGCACCAAAAATTAAAAAGTTAAAAAACATTTTTTTGCCCTGATCAGCCTTCCAACTCCCAGGTCTTTGCCTACGAAGTGGTTGGGATTACTTCACCAGGCACATTTTTCTTGGTTTTTACTTAAAGCCTTAACTGCTCCTTCTGCAGACTCGAGGCCTTCCAAACTCAGACTGGTTGGGGTCCTGGGGGTGGCTGTTTCCAGGCAGCAGACTTCCTGGTCTCTGCCCCATAGTCACTCACCCTGCTAGACCTGCTTCCCATTTGTCAGAGGGGCTTCTGTCTCCTGCTGTTGCTCGCCTTGCAATTTTCTGTGCTGTTTTTATAATACAGTGTATTTATAATACAGTGTATTGATCCCCAAGATTAAAAATGTATATCACTTCCATTATGCTGTGTATCTCCTTTTCCACTCAGCTTTGTAAGATTTATTTGGGTTGCTACATAAAGTTGAATCCATCCATCTCAAGTACGATGTTGACCTATCACAGGACAGTTAGGTTATTTCTATTTCTGTGCAATGTCCAGGGTGCTACAGAAGATACCTTCCTATCTCCCAAGCATTCGCATGAGTTTCTCTTGGACCAAAACAAGAAATAATTGCTCACATGTCTTCTGGTTTGTTAGATTCTGATGAAATGCCCTCCCCGGACTCTCAGTTTCTATTCCAGAGGTGTGGGACTTCCTGGTCCTCATCTTTACCAACACTACAATTTAGCACACTTTTATACCACTGTTTTAATGGACCAGGCTAGAAATTTAGTATTTGCCCCAGGGAATGCACTGATTGAGAAGCTTTTCCTGGTTTGCTCCGAGGCCACTGATAGCACTTAATGTGTTTATAAACATCTAGAACTCTTTGAAAGTAAGTCCAAGGTATCAGAACTTCCCAGCAAGAGGTTAAGATAGGATATTCTTTTTTGCTGCAGTTAGATTTTTGCTTGTTTATTGTTTGAAACTTGAACTCACAATTCTTCTACCTTAGGCTCTTTGTTGTTGTTGTTTTGTTAGTTGTGGGGCTTGAACTCTGGGCCTGGGTGCTGTCCCTCAGTTCTTCAGCTCAAGGCTAGTACTCTAGCAGTTGAGCCACAGCACCACTTCTAGTTTTCTGATGGTTTATTGGAGAATGGACCAATATCCTCAGATCTCTGCCTTCTGACTAGCTAGGATTACAGGCAAGAGCTACGGGTACCTCGTTACTTGAGTATCTTAAGTGCTGGGATTATGGGGGTTTTATGATCTTTTTTTCTTTTTAAACTTCTGGAGGCCAGTGAAGTTAGGGACCGGAAATCTTGTTTTAATTACCGATGTGAAAGCAGAGTCACCAGACGAGTTTCTACATCTGTCTGTGGCTTAGATAACCATGGTGGAATTTCACCTGGAATTCCATCACCTGACAGTTATCAATCGCAACTGGGCCTACGTGCTCTTGCTGCCAGCCTCCGTTTCCTTCACTGTGAAACTGACGCTTTGCACATCACTGCGGATCCTTCCGTGGCACTGCTATTTCACCGAAGCCAGGTGCAGGGAAGGGCCGTGGTAGCCATGCTGGCTGTGATCTGTCTTTACCAGCTCCTTTGTTCTGGTTGAGATAACCTAGTGTTACCGTGAGGCTCTGGGAGCCCTGGACTGAGTGGAACGCTGACAGCATTTGCATACTCTAGAAGGCCGGAGATGCCTAGCTGCCCTGACCCTGACCCGCTGATCCCAGCTAGGGCAGGCCATCTCTCGCAGCAGAAATCACGCGGTTTCCTGGCTTGCGCAAGTCGGTGGAGCACTGCCAGCCCAGGGGGCTGCCAGCTAGCGCTCCTTCCTGCCGGTTGAGGGTCAGTCAAGCCGGTCAGCAAACTGGAATCTCTGCCACCCCTTTGCAACGTCTCTAGGGTTGGGATTTGTTTTGACAAATAGTGGAAGGCATCACACGTGAGGCCTTGTCAATACGCATTCACCCCAGCTGAGCTCTTTTCTGGAAATAATGACTGGGTGGGCACCCGTGGCTCATGCCTGTGACCCTGGCTACTCAGGAGGCTGAGATCTGAGGATGGAGATTGGAAGCCAGCCCTGGCAGGCTCTTTATTTCCATTTAACCACCAAAAAGCTGGAAGTAGGAGTGTGGCTCAAGAGTTTAAATCCCAGCATGCGGGTGCACACGTGCGTGTACACACATGATTATTTTACTCTGGCTGCTCACGTATAAGGAGTGTATATACTGCTACCCATGACCAGACAAAGGGTCTCCCTGAGAACAGCTGCTTCAAGCCAAGAAAGCCTTCTGTCCCTCTTCCCTCAGCCTCCCGAGGGCGGGGCCCTTGTGCCTGCAGTCCCCGGCTCTCCCGCTGGGCAGTGTGGTCTGGCCTACATTTGCATTAGAGAGCTAACATCCCCGAACACACCCATTTAAATCTCCCAGCGGTGGCCATTTTGGAAAAGTATCTCTTGAGCGTAACGCACTAATTGAGATCCAGTGCAAAGCTCGGGAGCTGAAGCTTCTAGAACTTTCCAGAATGTTGGCTGCCTAAGTTGGTGTTAGTTTCTGCCAGCTGCTGAGGGCTCTGTGCCAGCCACTGCTCCGGGTGCGGGGCGGTCACTTGGAGGATGTGGGATTGCCGTCGGACCAGGGCCAGTGAGGGCTGTGCACCATTGTCCCAGGCAATGGGGCAGGCTGGCCCTGCCTCACCTGGGTGAGG